GTGGGGTCCGTGTGTTATTGTATAAAAGAGCTGTATGTTGTAAATGTATTCAGATCACGAGATCAGTAGAGAATAGAATTGGGATTAGATTAATCGCTGGAACTGAGTTAGCATTGCCCAATTTAAATACTACTATTAAATTCTAACGAAATTTCAAATTCCAACACGTTATAATGCCGTTTCCTGACCATCAGATTTCTGTCAAACCTTCCCCCCAAAGTCCAGGAAATGGCATTTCAGAGACCCTAAATTCAAAAATCTTCCGAGGGGGCATGCCCCCGGACCCCCCTAGAGAAACCTCGCACCTGCGGCGCTCGGCTCGTGTCTTCGACACTCGTTTATCAAGCGTTACAATATAGGGGCGCATATTAATTGAAAGCCCACTGGCCCCCCCAGAAAATTAGTACCCAGCACGCCACTGAATGACACTCGAGAGAAGCTTACACTGAACTTCCACTCATTGAGTGTGAGTGAGCTTTTAGAATACGGGCGTATCAGACTACTTTCAAAACCACGGCAACGGTACATAAAACGGTTACCAAAATTCGCCAAAATTATGCAGTATTTCATGCTCTTTCCAATGATGTATCACAAAGTTGGGACACAAGCTCACCAATGTCAAAACGGCAAGGATTAATAAGGTGGTAATTGCTTTTGTTTATAGAATTACATTGTGCAAACATCTATATTCCGCAAGATCTGTATTCCTAATTGTTGTGAAACTCAACATATTGGGCAGTATTTCATGCTCTTTCTAATAGTGAAGCAAATTGGGGTACAAGCTCACCAACGTCCATTATATTTAACATTAATGTAGCACAATCGTTTAAAACTGGCTGTGTTAAATGTCACTCGATCGTGTCGTCCTTTGTCGAGCATCGTAGATAAAATGTGTTGTAATTGATGTAAACGTTTAGTTTAAGGACCCTGCATGTGAATGGGGCAATAAGCCCTGTAGGGATCACCAATCATTAATGACAAAGCTAGTAAATAAATAAAATAAAACGGCAAGGATTAATAAGGTGCTTATTGCTTTAATTTGTTTATAGAGAATTACACTCATTTCTTTTGTTTATATAAAAAAATGTTAGACAATAGTATTACACTGTGCTAACATCTATATTCAGCAAGCGTTTGTACAAAATCGGCCTCCCTAATTGTATTGCTCATGTTACTGCTAATTTAAAGTAAAAAATATCTTAAAAGTAGCCAGAAAAGGGGTTCAAATAATCTACTTTTGAATAACTGAATACAGTTGAATGTGAGGCCCAATCTAAGGCCAAATCTGGGGCCCAATCCGCGGCTATCTGACAGTGCTAAAACGATTGTTATCTCTAAGCGAAGGCATGGCTGCAAATCTACTTACGAAGTTTTGAACATTCAACCAGGGCGCTATAAATAAACCACGCGCGCTTAATATAGTCTAGTGTAGATCCTTGACTCGAACACAAAAACGGAAGCCGTCTCAAATTTCAACATTTTGATTTATGAGATATATGTCTCCCTTGGATGCCTCAAAATTTCTGCCATTTATACACTAGTCGTCTATTTCCCTTACATACAATAGAGTTCAAACATGACGCCCCTATATACAGTAAATCTACACAACCGAATTGGTGTTATTACAGTAAGAAACTGTTGCTTGTAGAAATAAAAGCCTACAATGAAGACTTTTCTGTCAACGCCGCGCGATAAGTTCAGCAAAATTCAATTTTTATTACCTCTAACATGTCTGTCAAATGTGATATTTGCCCAATACTTTGAATTACGTTTCCCACATGAGAACCGCATTGTGAGATATCATATATTTATATTATATTTTTATTTGTTAGTTGTTACCTGGAACATGACTGTCAAATGCGCTTAAATATATTTTGCCAAATACTTTGAATTACCTTTCCCACATGAGTATGAAGGTTTTTAGCGGATAAAATATCTGAAATGTATCAATCGAATTTATGCGCTATAAATTGATGTTATGTGCTATAAATTGATGTTATGTGCTATAAATTGATGTTATGTGCTATACATTGATGTTATATGCAAATACATCATGTCATAAACCGATACAACTAAAAGATGAACTGATACAAATATAAGATAAACCGATACAACTAAAAGATAAACCGATACAAACAAAAGATGAGGAAACGAAAGTAAATACCAATAAAAGATGAGGAAGCGGAAGTAAATTGGAAAAACGGTTGAGCGACGCGGCGACATACAACAATGGCGTCTCTTGGACCACGCATTTGGCTTCCTAATACAGAAAACGTTTTTCGTGAATTGGTTGATTTAATAAGAACTGCTGAACAAAGTGTCGCACTCGTTGTGACTCGCCAGACTTTTATTGTCGTAGATTAGAAGTGTTTTAACAACAAGAATCACCGAATCATTATCATTCTGAACAGGCATGTGTCAACACAATCAAATATGCGGACGATTGCACCATGGATACGTCCATAAGATTAGGAGAATCTAGCGATTTGCAAAGCGCTCTGGACTCAGTACAAAGTTGGGCTGTGGAAAATAAAATGGAACTGAATGCCAAAAAGACAAAAGATATGTGGATTAACTTCACCGAAGCACAGCCCCCTCTACCACTGCATATAGGAGATGCTATCATAGAAAGAGTAGATAATTTTAAACTCTTGGGAACCTGGTTTCAAAAGGACCTGAAATGGAATAAACATGTCGAGGAGACCACCCGCAAAGCAGCTAAAAACCTGTACTGCCTAGTGTGCCTACGAGAATGTAGAAGAGCGAATCTACCAGTCGAAGTGGGTCTCACCACTTATTTAACTAAAATCAGGCCTATCCTTGAATATTGTTCTCCAGTGTGGGGTGGTCTGCCACGATATCTAAAGGACGAATTGGAACGTGTGCAAAGGAGGAGTCTACGAATTATTAGCCTCCCGCATGGTTACCTGCCAACTCTCGAAGAGAGAAGAATTGAAGCCATATCGAGGGAACTCGTTAACATCTTAGGTGATCCAAGTCATATCTTTTATCAACGAACTATGGAACATAATAAACATAACTATAATCTTAGGCGTAGAGACGTTATATTTAAATACGCACCTTTCTCAGGCACTGAACGACACAGAAATAGTTTTGTTCCACGAGCAATGAGACAGGGGTTGCACTAAAACCAAACTTGGTTTTTATTCACTTTTTAAATAATTTCCTAGACTTTTAAATTTTTTACTCCAAATTGTATATATATAAATTTTAGATAGTTTGTAAATATTATTGCATGCTTAGTTATGCTCTTCTCTTTTAATAGACATATTTGTAAATCCATTGTATTTTTAAACTAAAGATGGATCAATAAAAACATCATCATCATCATCATCATCATCATACACAATGGAGCGTTTTTTAATCAACAATTTACATATACTACGTACTTATTTAAATAGTTTACGAAATGAATTCGACGTTATTCTTGAAAATTATGAACGGACCTCAGAGCGCTTTTCACTATGAAGAGTCTTACGAATTACCATATTGGTGTCCTAGTAATAAATTTATACCACAATTACACAATAGTCCCTAAATGTTACTCAAAAATGTAGTGTGAAATATGATAGTGTGATGGCCTCGTGTTCAGTGGCACAATTTATGCTTGTGAAAATAATGTTGTATTTAAATGATAAGCCTGAGAATAAAAAATAAAAAACCACTTATTTGTAGTGTAGACTTGTGAAAAGTGTAGACTTTTCGAACATAAAATTGGAGATGCGTGTGTGAAATTGTATCTGTAAAATATCCTGTGGTGTAAAAAAATTTGATCATACTCAAGGAGTGTGATCTCGCTCTACTAAAAAGCTTGTATGGAGGCATGTAAAATATATAAGGCGAGAGAAGGAGATAGCCATGTGTGTAAAATTCAGTATCCCTGAAAGGTTGGATGCGGCACAGACGCATTATTTGGTACACACCGTACATACTTATTCTGAGTACGTGGTACTCGGAAACGAGAATTCAGTTCTTCGGGTAACGATGTGAACTGCTGCACTGAACCACCTTGTGATGCGTTTTCTTCACGTGTTTGCGAAGAATGCTGTAAATTGGTCACCGCGCTTAAGATTGACTGAACAAAGTCCTGAACATTTGGTCTTCTGCCCTAGCTGTCTCTCTTCTGCCTAGCCCTAGTTTGGCCTGCAGTTCTGCCCTTGTTTTTCAATATGTATTCACCAGCTTGGAGCCACCACTTGGCACGCGCAATTTTGCTGCCTCGCTCAACTTCCGTTTTTCTGATTTACTTCCGCTTCCTCATCTTTTATTAGTATTTACTTCCGTTTCCTCATCTTTTATTGGTATTTACTTCCGTTTCCTCACCTTTTATTTGTATCGGTTTATCTTTTAGTTGTATCGGTTTATCTTTTAGTTGTTTCGGTTATGACATCGATGTATTTGCACATAACATCAATGTATAGCACATAACATCAATTTATAGCGCATAAACTCGATTGATACATTTCAGATATTTTGTCCGCTAAAAAACTTCATACATGAGAACCGCATTGTGAGATATCATATATTCATATTATATTTTTATTTATTACCTCCAACATGTCTGCCAAATGCGTTTTAATATATTTTGCCAAATACTTTAAATTGCGTTTCCCACATGAGAACCGCAACGTGAAATATCATGTATTCATATTATATTTTTATTTATTACGTCCAACATGTCCGTCAAATGTGTTTAAATATTATTATATTTTGGCAAATACTTTGAATTACGTCCCACACGAGAACCGCAATGTTAGATATAACATATTTTTATACACATACCATAGTTGGCTAAAGTGTATGTAAGTATAAAATATAGCAATGTAATATCTAATATAAGCATCCTACAGCGAATGACACCCCGCGACCATCATACGCCATCTGTACCATCTTCACCATCTGACAGCTCTTCCCTGTATAACCACCATAGACCATCATACACCATCTGAAAAGCATCCGACACACTTCGACCATCATACACCATCATACACCATCTGACAACCATCTGACAACCATCTGACACACTTCGACCATCATACACCATCTGTACCATCTTCACCATCTGACAACCCTTCCCTGTATAACCACCCTACACCATCATACACCATCTGAAAACCATCTGACACACTTCGACCATCATACACCATCTGTACCATCTTCACCATCTGACAACCCTTCCCTGTATAACCACCCTACACCATCATACACCATCTGAAAACCATCTGACACACTTCGACCATCATGCACCATCATACACCATCTGACAACCATCTGACACACTTCAACCATCATACACCATCTGTACCATCTTCACCATCTGACAACCCTTCCCTGTATAACCACCCTACACCATCATACACCATCTGAAAACCATCTGACAAACTTCGACCATCATACAACCATCTGACACACTTCGACCATCATACACCATCTGTACCATCTTCACCATCTGACAACACTTCCCTGTATAACCACCCTACACCATCATACACCATCTGACAACCATCTGACAAACTCCGACCATCATACACCATCATACACTATCTGACAACCATCTGACACACTTCGACCATCATACACCATCTGTACCATCTTCACCATCTGACAACCATCTGAAACACTTCAACCATCATACACCACCGTACACCATCTTCACCATCAGAAATCGGATGCCTGTATTGGTCATTACTCACAAAAATTAGCTTCGGCGTACTTGCCTCATTTTTCACAAAGTCTTTCTCTTCTGTGATATTTGCCCATGGGCATGTTCATGATGAAACCTGGTGAGTTTACTGTCAACAGTAACGATATTTAAGCCAGCATTTAGTTCAGGCAATAAGTTACAGTATACTGTATACAACTTTTCTAGCTAGCTTTTCTTTTTCCGGCCATTTAAATTAATTTGATATGTAAATGAAATAAATCTATCATACTAATTTCAAAAGTGGCAGTCTCGTCAAGGTATCAAAAATGATGAAATCATTCTATATATATATTGTTGATTTATTGGACCAACTTGCATACAGATGAGAAAGCAAGTTATACAGCAATTAAGCAGGCCCTCTTGGTATATAAAGGTTAAATGCTTCTCAAAGCAGTTAAATAAATTCTCTAAGAAAATCCGCTCCTTTTTTTTCGTCGTTGCAAAGTCTATGGCTAAAAAATTTTTACTGTATGTATGAGAAAAATTACAGTTACGGTTTTTACGAGGAAAATACTAGCGGTTAACGGTGAATTAGTACAAAACATGGTACGGTCGCCGGACCACCGACCCCCTATAATAGACCCCCTGTGTATAGAGTTAATAATTGAGTTAAAATATATTACATACGTGTGGTGTTGCACAAGGGTTTGATCTGGGTTCACTCCTCTTTCTGGCCGCGGAGTTTATAGGTGTAATGATAATCGGCGAAGGGACTTCTCTCGAAACGTTGAAGTTCTCCTTGCATTTTTTTATGAAACGTTTTTACATTTCTGTCATCAGGCCGATACTTGAATATGGAGCGCAAGTGTGGCATGGGGGACATACTAAAGCATAGAGCAGCAGTATGGATAAAGTACAAAGAAGGGCATTGAGAATAATCTATTCTGAAAAAGATTACGAAAGGTTATTGTTAGAATTGTGCATTGATTTTATTAGTAAAATGTCTGACCACAAACTGCACAATCTTCTTCCTAACAAACTTTGCGGTACGGCAAAGAGATACACGTCAGAATGGTCAATTGTTTTACAATTACCACTACAGAACAGAACGTTTTCGGAACAGTCCAATTGTTTCATCACTTGAACTCAATAATAACTCTATTTTATATATTATAACTATATATTTTTATCCAAACGTTTTTAATACGTATTAGATAGTTTTCGGCACAGTCCAATTGTTTCGTCAGTAGAACTTTTGATAATAACTCTCATTTATAATACAACTATATATTTCTTTTGAAACTTTTTGTAATACATAATTTAAATAGTACAGTAATTAATGTATTTCTTCTACATGTATGTAATGCGCATTCTAATTTAGCTACTTATTGTAGCTATTCAAAGTGTAATTTTCATATTAATTAAACTAAACTAAACTAAAACTAAAGGTAGTTGCAACCCTAACAATCCGAAGATTTCTTATTATTGCCACTATACCTTGTAAAAGCCGTGTGTAAAACCAGTAGCTTGTACTTGATCGTTGTTTTATCTCTATTACTAAATCGATTCCGACCCTGCTGAATGATTCCACAGATCCAGCAAACATTGCTTGATTAGTTTGCAAATACGAACTGTCCAATACCTTCATATTGAAGAGACAGGCGGAGTAGCCCACGCGTCGGAGTTATGGTATTAACACCGCGACATTATCAGGCAACATATACCACATGCACAGGGGGCCACTATGAGTTATGATTGAAATAATATTGTATTTATTTTAAAAAACCTACTTGAATCACGGGCTTTAGGAAAAATTCAATTCGACAACAATAGTATTCTATCTAAATAGCAGTTAAAATAAAGTGTACGGCACCTGAACTGTTCAATATCTTGCTTCTGTATCCCTAAAACACTTACATATATGCAAATATTGTATATTTTCAAAATCCGCCATATTTATTTGCATTAGAACCCAAGCTTTCTTGGTTCACACGAAATATTAACGTCGGCGACTTTCACTAATATTAATAGGGTAGGATCATGCTATTATTTAATTGTTCTAAACGCGAGAAAATATGCTTCCATATATGGCACAAACGTGTCCCCAACTTCCTTATATGGCACAAATCTGTCCCCCAAATATTTTCTCAAAGCCGTCATGATGTCATAAGATTCCTCCCGCTCGGAACGATTTGAAAAGGTCACGTGATACAAAACCTGCTTGGTCTGTACTGGTTAGACAACAACATGGAATGGGAAACAAATACTTGGGCTATAATAAAAAAGGTCGGAAGAGACTATATTTTTTGAAAATGTTAAAGAATTATGGAGCCCCAAAATCTGACTTAATAAAGTTCTATAAAACCCTAATTAGACCTGTTCTTGAGTATTTCGATGTCTTGTGAGCTGGGGGATTGACAGAAAAGCAACGAATCAATATTGAAAGATTCCAAAAACGAGCGTTACAGATCTTCTGTCCGGGAGATAGATAAATAGATAGATAGATAGATAGATAGATAGATAGATAGATAGATAGATAGATAGATAGATAGATAGATTGATTGATTGATTTTAGCACCAGTGAAGGCAGAACTTGAATTGTAATACAGTGTTCTATTTTTTGGAAGTTCGAAGGTTATTTTAGACCTTCTGAGATTATATATATCCAAAGCATGACAATGTTTAAATATACCTATTAAATAAGATGGTGGATTACCATTTACTATTCTGTACATCATCATAGCCTTGATGAAACACCGTTTACTGACAATGTTATTGAGTCTCCCAAGGCCGCTAGCTTTTGTCGAGAAGCAATAACCATGAAATCGGTCTTAGATAGATAGATAGATAGATAGATAGATAGATAGATAGATAGATAGATAGAAATTTTTAGTTATACACGCTGACCCCGTCAACCGAAGCTGATTTCCACGAGGGGCGTGTGCCAAAAAATTGAATAAGATTTTTACATGTACAGGAAAGTGATAGTTAGAGCTATTTACAAAAGTTTAAGAGATATAGAGTATTAAAATAGTAACATATTAATGAGTATTAAATAGTAACATATTAATGTCTAATGAGAAAGTTGGCAGACTATTTACAGGCACATTATTTATAATATTTAATATTCATAAATGTAAGCAGCGATTTTATTTTGAAAGGAAGAACGTGATTTGCTTTCCCTAATTTCTTTTGGAATAGAATTCCAAAGTTTAGCTCCGTTGCATGTACAGGAGTATTCTTCATGCTATTAGAACGAGGTTTTGGTAAACAAAGACCAGTTGAAATGTCCCGAAGGTGATAGTTTGTTTTCTCATATTTATAAGAAAATAGATTTGTGAGTGATTTGGGACCCATTTTATTTAATACTTTGTACATCATTTTTGCTTTAGCTTTCTTCTTAATATTTTGAGTGGTTCCCAACCCAATTCACACAAAGCAATAGAATGATTTACGTCATTACTCATATTCAAGATAATTCTAGCAGCTCTATTTTGAAGTTTTTTAAGTCGTTTTGATTGTGTTTCGCCTAACACATCCCATACTTCACAGCAGTAATCGAAGTATGGGCGAACAATAACGTTATATATGGAAATAAGTGTTTCTTTGTCAACAAAAGGTTTGACTCGACAAATAGCAGAGATTCTTGCTGTTATTTAAAGAAAGTATGAGAATGCACGTTTATCAAATGAATTTACCAGATTGGAAGAACGAAGGAAAGATTATTGTATAAATTTGGTTAGTGATTTATCAGAAGAAGAGCACTAACTTCACCACTTCCTCCTCCCACCAAGGAAGTGTCAGATAATAACAAGAAATACAAGATCGAACAAAGATCTTTTTTATAATTTTAATAGTAGAACAAATAGATTAAAATTCAGTCCAATTCCGTATGCTGTAGACACTTTTAACTCTAGTAACAATGGATGATGTTTTATCTAGTAACTAATCTTTGTAAATTGCATAGTAATTTAGCTTTGTGTTATTGTATGCGATATTTTAAACCAGTGTAATAACAATAATAATATAAAGTTCCTTTTCAAAGTTCAATGACAAGTTCATTTTCTTCGATCGTTAATGGACCAATTAATCCTATATTAATCAAAATTTTGATCTCAACAAGCCCAGACAAAATTCCATCACAGCATGAAAGAGCATCACAAAATTAGTAACATTCCAAAGTTTCGTTGCGAAATGTTGTAAAATGCTAATAATATAGCCTTGCAAAATTTGCAATTTTCATTCATTTTATATTACGAGCAAGAAACGGTTACCACTTTTCCAAAATTTTGATCTCAACAAGCCTAAACAAAAGTTTCATCACAGCTTGAAAGAGTACCACAAAGTTAATAATATTCCAAAGTTTCGTTGCGAAATGTTGTAAAATGCGGATAATATAGCTTTGCGAAATTTGCAATTTTCAGTCATTTTGTATTACAAACGGGGAATTGGGTAACTTACCACTTCCGTGCGTAATACAAATTGACTGAAAATTACAAATTTCGCAAGGCTATATTATCCGCATTTTACAACTTTTCGCAACGAAACTCATGGAATATTACTAATTTATTTTGTGATGCTCTTTCAAGCTGTGATGAAAACTTTGTCTAGATCTGTTGAGATCAAAACTTTGGTTGATGTGGGATTGGTCCATTAAGAAGAAATTTGTCAGTGTCGCCAGGCATTAATTCCCGTGTCTCGAACAACTTTAGATTTCCCCGCACTAATTAACTGGTGTAAACGGTCTCTTTCGTCTGCTGTTGCCTCAGGAATGGAATCTTTCCATTGCAAGATATCTTTAAGTATCTCGCATTTCTTACATGTAGTATTCATTGATAACTCATGCATGCAGTACTTAATAGGTTGACAATCCACTTAACCTAAATATATACAACAAGTATACTGTATACATGCATTAAAATTATATAATATCATGTATTTATTACTCGCTGAGGCACCTCTGCTCTGGCGAGTATAGGTTTCAGCACGCATTTGTGGTGGATTTCCAATCTCCAATCGTCGTCGATAGCCACAAAATATAATATTCATTAATACCCAATTCAATTTTTACCCAAATTATCCATTAGGCTCCTGCCAATTTTTACCCAAATTATCCATAAATAACCCTATGTTTTGAGGAAATTTCAAGAATTTTACTGGAAAAGCCAAGGAAAAGTCAAAATAGACCTGGAAATGGAAAGTGGAAACAGCGACCTTCGCAAATCGCAACAAAAATATAAAATTTCATATTTTGAGAAGAAATATATTTTAAAAAAAGAAATCTTTACAACGATGTTTACGGTAAGTAAATTTGATTTAATTTCAAATACGTTCACCTTGCATGACTCTGCGCCTATTCGTGGTAGACCTACACTAAAAGATGCTGAGAGATTTCGGACCGGGTCTATTATCCACAAATCAAAAAATTCCTTCGGATACGAAAAAAGCTGCTTAAAAAGTTGCCAAAAGTACACAAAAAGTTGCCAAATATAATACACAAAAATTGACCAAAAATGTGACAAAAGTAATACTGAAATGACAAATAATACACAGAACAAACGTAAAGTCAAAACCAAGTTGCTGTTCTTCAAATGACTCCAATTAGCACATGGTCATGTTGGCCGCCAGCAGAAAGAACGTGGACAATGTGAAAACCTCTGACCAGATACCAATCAACAATTTCTGCATAATTGTGGAAAGTGATTAATAGGTGCATTCCATCTAAAGATAAAATAATTTTGACCTACCAAATATTAGAGACTGAGGATATCATGGCCGACCTTGATGGTGTTATTTGTTTTCACGCCACCTTTGACAAGCATTTGGAAGGAATTCAGAAATTGCTTGAGATGGTAAGAAGAGCCGGTTTTAAACTATCTGGGAAGAAATGCCAATTTGATAAACTTTGTGTAAGATTCCTGGGTCACATTATCGACAACACTGGTGTTAGACCGCTACCTGAGAAACTAGATATTATCAGGAATTGGAAGGCTCCTGAGGATGAATTGCGGCGATTTCTTGGAGTGTGCACTTTGTGGAGAAGATTTGTGAAAGATTTTGCCAAAATAGCCGTTCCACCTCACAATCTTTTAAATGAAGAAGAATTCTAATGGACGAATGAATGTCAGGATGCGTTTAGCCTGTTTAAAGAATCGCTGTGTTCTTCGGTGACGTTGAAACTTCCACAGCGTGTAGGTCGATTCTCTGTGACATGTGATGCATCAGATTTTGCGAGGGGTTACTACCTTGAACAGGCTGATAAATCTGGCCAAAAGCTCCCAATTGCTTTTGGGGGAAGGAAACTACATAAACCAAAAATGAACTACTCCACTACGGAGAAAGAATGTTTGGCAGTTATTGAAGCACTGAAGGCATATCGTTCGTACCTGTTGGGGAACCAGTTTGAATTATACACGGACCATCAATCTCTAAAACGGCTGCTAACTCAAACGAAAGAGCATAGTTGTCGCCTATGGCGATGAGTGGATAAAATCCGTGAGTTTCAGTATTTGGATAAGCATATTCCAGGACGGAATAACACAGTGGCGGATGCCTTGAGCAGAATTCGAAATGTGGCAACTCGAGAACCAACACCATGGAATTTAGAATACATTCGTCAGCAACAAGGATCCTGTTCGAAGATAAGCCAACTAAAGTCCATGTTACAATCAGAATTACAACAAATAAACACCATGGACATGGAGTTAAAGGCATTTGAGGACGAACTACCCAACTTATTTTTACGGAAGGATGGGTTGTTGTGTCATTATGACAGTGATAGAAACACCAGAATAGTGATTCCTCGTTGTCTCATTCCGAGAGTACTAGTACACATGATGCATAATGATATGGGACATTTCGGATTCAAGAAGACCTTTCAAAGGATCAAAGATAAGTATTTCTGGCCACAAATGTCATCTGAAATTGAAGATTGGTGCAGAAAGTACGAAGTGTTTTAACGTAGAAGGAATCCGGTACGTTCCCAAAGAACTCCACTTCAATCAATTTCTACATGCCGCCCGGGCGAACTGGTTACAATGGATATTGTTGAGTATGCACAAAATTCTCGTAAATAGCGTTATTGTTTAGTGATGATTGACCACTTTACAAAGTGATTATAATTATTTCCATTAAGAGATCAGAAGGCGGAAACAATCGCGAAGGAAGTGTTTGATGGTTGGATCCCTCGGCATAGAGCACCGGAACAACTCCACCACGACCAAGGAAAGAACCTGACAGCTGAAATAATCCGTGAGGTATGCTCGTTCCTAGAAATCTGGAATACACGGACAACACCTTTCCACCCACAGTCAGATGGGGCGTCAGAGAGGAGCATCCGAACCGTTAATAACATGTTAGTCAAGGTTGTTACTGAGGACCAACGGAATTGTGATTTGTATGTGTCATCTACTTGTTTCGCATACAATACAGCCGTTCACAGAACCACTGGTTTACGCCTAGTTATCTCGAATATGGCAGGAAACTCCGTCTACCAAGCGATGTTGTTATGAATGATCAACAAACCCCAAAGAATAACTCTCACACCGAGTATGCAACAGAATTGAAGAAAAGGCTTGCTAAGGCGTTCAAATGCAGCAGGGAAACGCTCGAGTCATCTTATAGAACACAGAAACATTATTACGACAGGTGGGCGAGAGGAAACGTTTATAAAGAAGGTGATTTGATCATGTGGAAGGATCAGGAAACCCGAAACGGAAGGTGTATGAAGCTGAACAAACCATGGACGGGCCCATGGAAAGTTATTAAACGCCTAGGGGAAGTTGTGTACAGAATAAAGAACATAGGCTCTAACAAAGTTGGGTTGAAGCGAAGGATTGTCCATCACAATCAGTTGAAGAGATTCTACGAGACCACAGGAGGAAGAGAAACATGTACAATCAGAACAAATTTCTGGACAACTCGTAGCCAATGATGGTGATACAGTTGAAAGCAGGAGCGATGTTGTCATTGTTGTCGACGGACCAGGTGCGGATGACGAACACCAGATACAACAACGAGAAGTCGAACCTGTGGTTTTGGAACCCGAAGGAAGACCTCAACGACAACGTAGACCACCTGCCTGGCTTGTTCCGTATGAAATAAAACATTTAACTTGTGGTACACAGTTTAGTTTTGGAGAGGATAGTGTAAGGACTGGAAACTAATGCGTAATGACTGGGACATGCGCACTAGGACGTAGTTGTGTTGGCGCTTTGTATGTGATTCCAAAAGATATGTTTTTGCGGTTTTTATTTTGTTCTCAATAAATATATAACGATTTATTGTGTGAGTTTACATAGTCTTCCTATGATTAACTGTATAATAGTAAAAGGATTTATATTCACTCCTTTAAAAGACAATGCGACCCACTTACTCAGTCTAATGACAGACGATTTTACTCGTCAAGGGGAGAGCGCTGTCACTTAATGGGTTAACATTAAATCGTCCTCTAGTTCACATATAGTACAGATACAGATATTGCGCAGCACAATTCCTATCAGGGCTTTTCAGTGACTGGTTACATTGTGAATAGATAGACAGATATGGAACTGACGTGAAGCAGATCGAGGTAGACTGTGAGCTTAATTAGTAAGGCACTTGCACGCAAGCAAGTATATAAGGTGCTTGCACGCAAACAAACGGTCTTATCTAAACGCTGTGTCTATATCAATGAGCTTATTGTAGCTCCTGACTGGGGCAAATCCAATTAAATATGTTTATACTGAAAATTGACACACTATTGTATAGTTTAGTCTCAGTTAAGTATTTTTATGTTCAACTAAGACCTGGAACCTTATTTTTCTATTTTGTAGAAAAATGTTCAACACAACACTTTATACAACGAAATATGTTCGACTATTAATTGAAATGATGAATGATGATATGTTTACGTATGGAATGCTGATGCTCAATAATTTACTTCATCACTAACTTCATTGTGGTGTCTCCACTATTCTGATCACGGGCCAGAAATGGACGCTATGAATTGTTCGTGAATTTGTACGTTATTAAAGTGGTTATTTTTGCGATCTCACAAGTTCCTTGAAATACGACTGTTAATTCTTCGAGGAAAAGACTATATTGTCCAATTGAAATACGACTGTTAATTCTTCGAGGACAAGACTATATAAAACGTATATTGATTGTTCCTCATTTTTGGTACCTTTACAACGAACATCGCCATCTCTACTGGTAAATCAATGAAATTGAACTATCGACGCTTCATAAAAAAATAAACATTATAAAAGCTTACAGAAATGGTTTCCATTAAAAAACTTGCCAAATTTGGTTTGTTCAAATCACAAATGCAAGATTTGTTCTGTGATTATATAATCATAATTTTTGCTTAGTGATTCTTTCAGAATTTTGTTCCAATGCGATGTATACTGTACAAAAATCTGTAATACTTTTATTGCTTAATGTTACTTCGATGTGTATCTGCAAGTATTGCTAACTGAACTGTCAGCTCTTTCTGTACTATTCCTCCTCAATAAAGTCTCACTCAGTCTAAACAGTATTCGACTCGAATTATTCGAGTTGATTATACTTGTCTACACGCGTAAAAAATATGAGCCTGCTGTTTAACAGGATTTAACAATGTTGCGCGGCCCACATTGTTCACACTTGTCAACAATATTGAACAATATTGACATTGTTGACATGCAACTGTAAAAAATGTGGGCCGCACAACATTGTTCAATCCTTCTCATCAATATTGCAACAACCTGCAGATCGTTTTTAGCTATATGTATCACTGTAAACTGTACTAGGTAGCGGCAGCAAAATTTTATGTTAGCGCTACTGAGTATACTGTATTAACTTACTGGTAATTCCCAGCAAGCCTTTTGACCTTTGCGCTCGTATTCGACCTTTCCCCTTCAAGCTGCTCCATTTACTGTTCGGAGTACTACGGATCTTCGGAACACTAATGGAATGGAACAGAAGAGAGTCACATGACTGTTCTGAACTGTTCTGACTCCCCCGATTTTCGAGTAGGGGCAGCCACAACAGACGTGACACTGCCTATTTTCACGTGATTGGAAATGGAGGCGACATATTTTGTGTATCCAATACACACTGTATAGAGCGTTATTTTGAAGGGTTAACCGCTATATTTCGACATAAACTTATTATATGCTATTTGAAAGCCACGGTTGGGCAAAATCAACGAGTAAAAACGTTGCAAATCATACGTAGATGTACAAATAACAGCGAATCATTATACACTTATGCGAATAACTCAATAATTAATATAGTAATGCATGATTGCACGCATATATAATAAACTCAACACTGTTCCAGAGCTCGGGGACAACCTTAAATCTTAATTGAAATAGCTGTGTACTTTATGTATCATATACAGTAATGTGCGTATTTGTATAACCCCAGCGAGTTAACGTTCTGTTGAGCGTCTTGTATTAACATGCATTGTAAAACAAACTTTAGTGATAAAACGGATATATGATTTTGATACTCCTTAGATGTGGTCAGACTTCAGACTGGATCTTGAGTGTCAAAACTTCAGGTCTCATCGATATTCTCTTTAAATAACCTCTCAGTCAAATCTTGTCTTCTATTGGACAACGTTGTAACGTTCAAACCTGTAGAGCCATACGTGCACGCATGCATGTATGCATGGTTTCAAAAGTCTTTTCACAAACCACTTACTGTCATTACTGTCAGTGCAAACGAGCATGTTGACACTTGTCGGGCTCTTGAATGACGGCCAGCTACTCTATGATAATTTCAAATCAAACTAGGAAATAACATATCTACTTTTTAATCATATCAAATAATTGAATAATTTTATGATAGTTTAATACAAGAAAATGTTTATTCAGTTAACTTTTCGTGCAGTTAATCATAGCAAACGTCCAAAGAATACTTTTGAGATTTCTGTTTCTTCAAAACCATGGATAAAATCGAAAGCAGCTGCGATGAATTCCTCACGACTGATTTCACCACTCTTATTCGAGTCAATCACGTTAAAAGAGTGCTTCATCTCATCTTGAGATATATCAGGAGCAATTATTTGAAAATACACCTTGAACTCGTCCAGGGAAATGTGGTCGTCTTTATCGAGGTCCAGGGCATCAAAGATTGGGTTATGAGTTTCTTTTAGGAAACCTAGATGTTTTTCTTGTGCTATTACCGACAATGCTCGGTTTGCCTTTTTAGCTGCTTCTTCTACAGGGACCTTTACTCCAGGTTTCAGATCCAATAGATCAGCAACAGCCATGAATGCATTGCGTGTCGATTCGGCGTTCTCGGCGTTCAATTTACCATACTCTTGCAATTTCTTGGCCATGAGCTCGTAGTCTTCGCGAGATATGAAACCATCGTGATTCAAGTCTAACCTGGTGAATCGAGTTCGCATTTTCTGCAGGTGATACGCGCGTTGTTTTTCTGTCAAACTCGACATCGTAACGGTGTCTGGTGATGGCGATGTCTGGTGTTGAACTGATACAAAATATGGTGGGCGGCGCAACGCGCTGATCGACGTGTGATCTTGTCTGTACTTATCTATACCTATATTATGTCCTTATAGGAAATTGGAATTATATATGGAATCAAAAATATACTCTGTCAGTCAAATGTGTAGAGGTCTCGACGGTTAGGCGGTTTTGGCTCATTTGAGAGGTGGTCTTCGCATATATACATATATCAATATTCATTGAGGTTTTCGTACGGTGAAGTGGCTCAACGGAAAGCCGTTGAGCATGGAATATATTTGACACCATGCAGCTCCATTTGGAGATTGGCTGCCTTAATAATAATAATAATAATAATAATAATAATAGTTTATTAGCCTTCCACACAAGTGGCTCTTCTATGCTAAATACAAAAGGAGAACGAAATGACAATACAATACTACATGCACCTATGCCTATGGTAAAAGTAATTATATATACAATATATATTCATAATATGAATATAGTAGTGAAGGTAGGCTTATTCGTCATTGTCTGCCTTGGCCATGCAATGTCATGAAATGATTTTTGCACAAAGAATGAAATTCACTAGCCGTATTACAAGTACTAATTTCAGGTGGAAGGCTATTAAATATTTTCGATGCTGTATGCTGAAATGTCCCATTAACAAGCGGGTTTACTAGTTTGAGTTCACTAAACGATCTGAGAGATCTTCCAGGTTTGCAAACTTCCAAAGGAAGATACGAAGATCAATCGGCCATATATAGTGCTTTAAATATTAGTTTAGTCATGTGAAACTCCCTGCGATATTTGACTGGGAGCCAGCCCAATTTAAGTACGTCAGAAATGTTCGCATAATGATTCACCACAAAGCCTGCAGCTGCAAGCTGTACTCGTTGTAGCATTTGATAAGGTATTCCGGAGCTGGGTGACATACCACGTCGTTGTAATCAAGAACTGACCGGACTAATGACTCAGCCAGTTGCTTTCTTATATGAAAAGGGGTGAAATTCTTGAGCTTTTTTATGGCAGACAAGGTGCCATAACACTTACATATTTTTCGATGTCCCAGTTCCATTCAAGATTCTCGTGTAACTCGGTTCCTAGTAATTTGGTTGTTGTAGTCCTCTCCAACAGGGCAATGCCCACAGATATGTTAATTTGATGTTTGTTGAGTTGACGCGAAGTCGCAAGTTGATAAGTCGAGAAAATCATAGTTTTGGTCTTTTTAGGATTCAAGTTAAGGTTACAGTCAGTTGACCAGGGGCCGGTTGTATCAAAGGCGTTTAACTCGCTAACCACCGTTTAACTCGCTATCCGCCGGATAAAATTTAAACGCTCGAGAAATCGCGTTGTATCAAGCCCGTTTAGCGCTATCCACCGGTTAAATTTTGCCTATCCACCGTGTAAACTTATACGGTCTCTTGAGACCGTTTAAATCGCTATACGGCGGATAAACTCGGAGTTTGAAGATAAAACAATGATTATTTCGGATGAAAAAGCATGGGATAGTTATAAAAATGCACAATCATGTAGAGGAGTTATCTTTTTAAATCCAATAAACAGGAAAAACTCACTTTTAACTGGCTTGGGGCCGGTTGTATCAAAGGCGTTTAACTCGCTAACCACCGTTTAACTCGCTATCCGCCGGATAAAATTTAAACGCTCGAGAAATCGCGTTGTATCAAGCCCGTTTAGCGCTATCCACCGGTTAAATTTTGCCTATCCACCGTGTAAACTTATACGGTCTCTTGAGAGCGTTTAAATCGCTATACGGCGGATAAACTCGGAGTTTGAAGATAAAACAATGATTATTTCGGATGAAAAAGCATGGGATAGTTATAAAAATGCACAATCATGTAGAGGAGTTATCTTTTTAAATCCAATAAACATGAAAAACTCACTTTTAACTGGCTTGGTCTTGAGGAACACTGAGGTCACTTGCTCACTTGTAATTCAGTGGCTTTGCTATATTTACGCACACCAGTGTCATGTTTAGATGTTAAGTATATATACTCTGGCTTTTTCTTCTTCTTTTCTTCTATTATATAGTTTGAAAACAAGCAGTAAGACTCGCAATTTTAGCTATTGTAAAACAAACAATGACTTTGGAAAGCCAACAAGTATACAAAATAGACAACAAGACGCCGAAAGTCGAAAAAAATGGTTCGCTCGCTTTGATCAGCCAATCAAAACGTAGGACAAAATGTTCTTAAAATTGTTTTGAACAAAAGTGCAAGGTCGAGGAACACATTCAAACAGTATAAAACTGAATCAACTGACAAAAGCCAAATACAACTCACAGTTTTTGCTATTGCCTTCGACTCTTCGCATAAAGAAGCCAAAAATCTTTAAAGAAATATCCGTAAGTGAATTTAAGTGAATGAGAAACTCAGCACAATGTGAAAATGAAAAGTTTGATATAGATTTGCAGCAACGAATGGACGAGCAAACTCCAAATAAAAACAACAACAAATTTATTGCAAAAGCTTAGTGGAATTCACAAGTTAGATAAAGCTTCAAAAGTTTACAAAGGCCTAGCAACAGCTGACGTAGAGGTAAGAAATTTCAAGAAAATCCGGTTTTCTCCGGTTAAATTAAAGGTTATCATACGGATAGTTAAACGCGGTACTAAACGGGCTTCATACAACGCAATTTTATCGGCCGTTTAACTATCCGCTGGATAAGAAATTTATACGCTGGATAGCGGCTAAACACCGTTTAAGTTAAACGCCTTTGATACAACCGGCCCCAGGACGATAACTTATCCATAGCTTCATTGTTGTAGCTGTAACTCACAAGAGTTCATCTTCACAAAAATAGAATGTAATAAAGCATTCGGTTAATTTGCCATTGAGGCAGCTATCTGTTATAGAAAAATAGTCGAAATCTGGAAAGTCGGAACAGGATCTCGTAAATTATCGATCATTTCTTACGCACAAAACAAAACGGCTTATGTGACGCAACAACTATAACTTTTATTATAAATTAGACTCTTTTCTTTAATCTTTAAAATTCTTTAAGCACGGTAGCCATTCAGCATGCTACGCTGATTTTCAATGGGCTGTGCACGCTATACAACATATATTAACCTAATTCTATAATATAAAACACACTTTTGGTGTGTTGGTCCCTGGGGAATGGGTGCAAACGCTCTATATGCAGCGTCGGAACTGTCAAAATTAATTATCGTTAAAAGAATCAATCACGTTGGGTCTGCATAAAATGTGAGCCATGCGAGACACCTAATTACCCAAACCTCGCGACTCATATATGCAGATGCATACTGCAACAAACCATGAATGTTTCGCAGAAACGCTTCTGTTAGCTCAAATATGTGCGAACATACACTGTATATATCATTTTAAAGCTTATGGGATGCTGATGCATTTTACTGTTCAAGGTTGAAGATAGTCATATCTTTATTTGCTGTAGACTGCATGCTCTCACAGAGAGCGGTTCATTTGTATGCATAAAGCCTGCATGGTTTCCATAGGGTTGCAACTGTCGCGACCGTATCGCGAAAGGGGACCTTCCCCCCCCCCC